TACTTTCTCACGGCCACGGCCGTTTTAATGTTCCCTCTGCTTGTAAGTAACCGTACGATAGTTGCTACAGCTTTCAATTTTTCTGGGTGTACGGAGAAAGGAAAGGGCTTGTATCATCGTCTATCTCTCCGTCTACCTGCGAAAAATCTATACCAATGTGATGTCATTCATTTGACTTACAATATTCGGTTTTGGGCTGCGGAGACAATCCGGTTTGTCGTCTGAGAGTCCCTTAGTTTGCAGACCCCATCGGTATTATACATTTATACTGTTTGATTTCGTACTTTATCGCGGTGTACTTTGCTGAGGAGGGCAGGCTCAGAGCGAACATCGCGAATAATTTGCCAGTGTGAGGCTCTGCTGTCTTGTTTCATTTGTCTTTCACCCCTTTCCTCTTTGAAAAAAAAATTAAAGATCGGTGAACATGGCGTCTTGGTCTCTCTGTCTCTCCCTCTGGTCTCTTTGCCTCTCTCCCTCTCTCTTATCTGTCTCTCTCACACACACGCTCTTTCTCGATCTTGCTCGCTGGCCGCTGAGTGTCGAATAGCAACCAGAACCGGTCCTCGAAGGGGAGAAGCGGGTGTGGAGGAACTTGGGCCAGTAGCTTGCTAAGAAAAAGGAAAAAAGAAAAATAAGAAAAGCTGTCACTTGGGTCCTGCCGAATGCTTTTCATTAAAAATAATACTCTCCGACCAGTTTGGGTTTTTTAGGCCCTCCACATTTGCATGTCCGAGGGCCCCTAGAGGACAAGGGGGGCCTCACTTCGTTCCGTCAGTGTACAGGCTTAAAATGGTCGGTTTACAGTAAAGCAGTAGATTTCAGTTCCAGTCATTTCAGTTACATCGAATCAGTTGAACAGAATTGCCCATTACAGTCGCGGTCCAGTCATTGCAGTCTTCTCTTCCATTGACACACGCGAAAATCCAAGTGTACGAACGCTGGGCTCCTGCAGCTGTACGAGCTGAACGAGAAAGTTCATACCGATTTAAACACGTGTGACGACTTTCTTCCCACTGTTGCGGGTGAGCGAAATGATATGTCGTTCGCACACATGCGAAGATTACTAGCAAAAAGTTGTTCATGTGAAACGGTGTGAATTAAATCGTACACTAGGATTTCTATCGCACTTCATAGTCGCCTTTATTTAAGTCAATCGTCAATCACCTGTCCTTTTCCGTACAGTCCCTACCCAATCAAGCCCTGCTCAGTAGCAGTTTGCTGCAGCTATGTCCACATTACAAATCCAACAGCAAGCTTGGCACACTATATTCCTAGGAGCATGATGTTTAAACAGAGTGTTTTAGTAAGCGTTCTCATTTCAAGAAATTATGTTTGCATGGGCAAGCACCGCGATGTAACTGTGTTTAAACAGCGTGCTTGGGCAAACTTTATCGTCCCTCCGTCTATCTTTACGATGTCTCGAGAACGAACTAAAGATACGGGCTTGGAACTTTCAGGGTTACTTAGTACTTGAAATAAAGACTAAAGACCTCTAATTATTTGGGGCATTGCACCTCAAAAATTAACAAAAAAAAAAAATAGCTCGTTGGTGGTTCAAAAGTCGAGGAAGGATGCCTCGGACAAATATGAAAACCTACCAAACCACGTCTTGCGACAAGACCACCCACGCCCAGATTTTGCAGAAGAGTATCGTCCTCGACAGTGGCTATGAATTTGTGGGGGGCGGAGGAGGCCCACTTCTGTTTCTGGCTTCGCCCGACTAAGGTGCCGGTAGAGATGGGCGAACATGTTCGCATTCGATCGAACTCGAACGAACATCGAGCTGTTCGTGATCGCTCGAACACGAACATGAGGTGTTCGGATTCGAAATGTTCGAACACTACTCGAACAGAAGTTCGTAGGCGAACAAAATTGAAATATGTCTCAGAAATTTACCTCAAAAATGGGTATAATTGAGGGGGCAGTGGCAGTTTAATAAATAACTACAAGTTCACACGTTAATGAAACTATTGGAAACCAGAATGGATAGCTTTTATAACGCGTAAGCAAGAAAAATTGGTATTAATTGTTCGTGTTCGGATCGAATTTGAACATTACATTGTTCGGTTCGGTTCGTTCGAAGAAAAAAATGCTTGTTCGTGTTCGTTCGAAGATTTTTGGACCAAATTTGTTCGAGTTCGTTCAAATTCGAACTGGCCTGTTCGCCCATCTCTAGGTGCCGGCGCCGCGCACTTGGTGTCTCGTAAGAAATCGCTAAGCCTGTTACGCGATACTTTGGTCTGGCGTGCATGCAGCATTTATTATCAGTTACTTGAATGTTTTAAATTTTAGCACTAGCAAGCGTTGAACTGGTAGGTTTTATCCTGGGTAAGTTAGCCAAACATTAGAACTAATAAAACACCTGAGTTCAACAGTTCATTGAAAACCTACCTACGAGTATTCGAGACGGTGGTGTTTAACATTTCCATGTGCTTGCTAGTTGAAAATTCCTCATCAGTGCGTTGCCAAGCTTTACATATAAATAAATGAAACCCAAGTCGGTAGAATAATTCCAGGCCACCGTTGCTACACTTCACTTTGCGACGGACTCCCCGTAACGTCCACTGCGTTCCAACACCATGAACCTCACCGAAATGTTCCGTCAGATCTCACAAAACATTTCTAACAGGATCCCAGCAGCAGGCAGGATCCCCGCTTTGTGCTCACAGGATCCCGAGCTTTGCAGGATCCCGCAGGGACAGCTGGAGGCAGGGCGCGCGCCTATTTGCATAATCCGACTGCCGCCCCCCCCCTACTCCCCCCTCTCCCCGCCCTCATGGTACCGCCCGCCCGGTGCTCCAGGTGCGTAGCACGGTAGCGGGTCCGATACAACCCGTCCAGGTACCAGTGGGTATCTGAGCCTGTGGGTACCTGTGGGTACCTTGGGGTCCCTGGGCTCGGGGAGCCTGTACCTGCGTGGGTGTGGTGGTGGTTATCTGGGGGAAAAGAGAAAAGGGGAATATGAAACATACCTGCACGGTCTTGGATTTCCTCCCTGAAATGTCGCGCTACAAAGAAAATAAAAGAACTCGGGTTCACCTTCTCTCTGTAAAAAAGCTACGTCGAGGGACGTATCGTGAAAGCAGATGATACAAATTTAAGGATATGTCTGTGCCTTAATTTTCTCTCATATTTTGCTGTTATTTGTTTATGGCTGTTTGTCACTTTTAGCAATTGCTTTCTTGCAATTCAACGGACTAGCGGCATGGCATGGAGGAAGAGATAGGATAGGGGGCAGCAGGCAGCAGGCAGGCCGGGCGGCATCCGTGGCTCAGTATTGTTGGGTATTGTTGGTGGGAACGGGCGGCGCCGGCGACTTCTCGCGCCCCTTATACATCTGGGTGACGTCATGCGCTTTGGTTCTCTGCCCTTCTCGAGAGTACAAGCTGCTGACACCTTAAAGTTTTATATATATATGTTTTATGTTTAGTCTAAAGCTATTTAAGGTATCATCTGCTAAAAATGAAATCGTCAGGATATACAATAAAGGGTGCCTTGTGTTGGTGAGTCGGGCCGCCGATACTGTACCGCTACAGAGGCGTGCGTGTGGGTTGCCTACTAGCGAGGCGCCATAAGGGTGCGACTTCTTCTAAAACACTTTGTACGTAGGAAAATATTTTCAAAACTATCAATACCGTTTGCCTAAATTCACATCCTGAGCCGGCCGGGGTCGCTGCACCACCGCCCCTCGCCACCCCTCTTGGTGGCGCAGCCCGACTCAGCGAAAATTATGTGGAAGTTGACGCTGACTGATGGGTAGCGTGGTCGTCGTCAACCTTCTGCACTTCGTGACGTCGGGCGCTCTATCCGTTGGGCCGTGTGTGTAGACCTGTCGTTTGGACCTGTGCCTGCGGGCCCTCCTGCCCCTATGCAACACTGGCGGCCCGGCGCGCCCAGCCTCCTGCAGCCGGCCGCCCGGACGACGGAGTCAGGTACGGCAACAGGCCCGGCTAGGGCTGCCGTCGACGGGCTCCAGGAGAGTCAAGCCGGCCCGGCCTCGCTGTCCTTGCGTCTTGCCTGAGCGGGCCGGGCCCCTCAAACTGCCCGCCGTTCGCACTTGTACATATTTATTCCTCGGTCCGACTCTCCACGTGACACGATCTCTTCGGCAGCGCTAGCCTGCCGGGAGGCCGGCGGCCGGGCAGGCACCGCGGAGCCGGGCCGTGTCGATCCGCGCCCGCCGAACACACCGACCCCCGTTGCTTCCTGATTCTGTGCCCGCCTCCCCCTCCGCCCCTCCTTCAGGTCCAACCCCGGGAGGGTGGATTCCTTTGTTCGCGAGGCGAGCCCCTCCGGGACCCTCCGGGCCTCCGGGGCGCTTGGCCGTGCGTGCGCCCGTGCGCCCGTGCGCCTACCGCGCCGTCGCGACGCGTCGAGTCAGATGATACCGACCCGACCGGTCAATGCTGCGACACCTTTGTTCGGCCCGCGCTCCCGGCACCGTCGCGGTTGATGGTCGGTCGGAGCATGAAACAATTAGCGATTTGTCCGTCGCCACGGGCATTGTTTCCCCGATACTGCCCGTCTGCAAGGTGCGGCTCTGTTCGGCTGAATAGAGCCGTCCAGTCAATGGCACTAATCCCTCCTCAATGAGTAGCGGCCGTCGCGCCGCGTGCGCGGAAATCCCTTTAAACCGGAGAGGTTTCTGCCGTGCTTTTGGCAGTGCGCGAGCCGAGCCCCGGCCCGGCCGCAGGCCCGGCCCAGCCGGAACCTTGAGCGGAGGCTGAGCCGAGCCGGGGTTGGAGCTGGTGGATGGCCCGGCTGCCGCGAGGCCTGTCCCAGCCCGGCCGGCGAGGAGCGCGACGTTGCCACCCCGCGGACCCGAATGCGAGCCGAGCGATAGCTGAGTCTGCCGAACTGAGCCGAGCTCCGGCGCACGGCAGCCCGGCGCAGCCCGGGCCGCGGGCGGGGCGGTCGAGGCTGGCAGCCAGGCTTGCGGGCCCCGCGGGCTGCGCGAGCCCCAGCGGCCGGGCAGCCGGGGCTGGCGGGCAGGCAGGCGGGCAGCCGGCCGGCTGGGCTGGCTGACTGGCTGGCAGTCAGTGCTGTGCCAGGCTAGGCAGCGTTTGGGTCGACCGCGCCTCGTGCGCCAGCCTCGCGAGGGCCTTCCGTAGCGGCCCGACACCGCGGTGCCTCCAAGCCCAGGGCCTCGTCGGCCTCGCCCACGTCGCGGCCTGCCATGTGCGTCCGGCGGCCAGGGCCAGGGCAGGGATGTACATCCCCACAGACCCGTGCGGCGGTAGCGGCGCGGACCTGCGCTACCACCAGCTGCTGACCATGCTCAAGCCGCAGCCCACCGAGCCCAACATCCAGGCCGTGGTGGCGAGGGCGGGCCCCACCTCTACCCCCGCCGCCGCCCCGCAGGCCAAGGCCAACAAGGATATCAACATCGACGTGATCTCGGCCAAGTGCTACGACGCGAAGATGCCCCCCACCCTGGCGCCCCCGCTCCTCATAGACGCCGACAACTACATGCTCCGGGACGTCCGGCCGCGCTCGCTGAGCCACGGCGCCCTCCAGCGCCCCCCCAGGACCCCCCACGGGTCCCCCGCCCCCCAGCAGCAGGACG